GATGGATTATATGGTATAGTCTATAGCTTATATAAATGCGTAAATACGTGCACCTTAAACGAGCGCTTGTCATGACAATCCATTATAAAATTATTTAATACAGCATTAATAGAATCGTCCTACCGTCAGTTACTTATACGCGTTTGTATGCAACGAGACGGAAAATATTCGTATGAAATGACGCGTGTTTACGTAATGTCCCAGCGGTTCCCAATTTTTTTTCTTTCGTACCCCTAAGCTTAATATTATTTTAGATTATCCCCCACATTATAACTTTTAAACTTTTTTCACTACTCCAAAAATTTTTAAATAAAAAATAACAATAACGTAATATAATTTATTAACAAATATATTTTTATATTTTGTAATAAGAAATACAAAAAAATAAATTAATTTTTTTACTAGAATTTAAAAATACAGCGAGATCCTTGATCTTATTTCGAGTTACATAGGTTTTTAATTAATATCAAATAATGCATGAAATAATCTTAAATCTGGAGCTGCTTTCAAAATATTTCTATACATATTATGTAATATTCTATAATCTATCAGACGCGTACTAAAGGGAGGGTTTTGAAGGATGAATCCACTCTCCACTCCGAAATTCAAGAAAATTATAAAATAAGTTTTTATAGATTATATAAGTATGAAAATGTAAAAAACCCCCTCCAAAATATTTGTATACGCGCCTGTAATCTGCATTCTATACTCCATTTCATTTTTAATAACATATATTGCATACTTCCGAAACGAATCGTTTTATATAAAACAAATGCAATATTTTTCGCCATTACCTAATTCTTTTTCACTTACTTCAGGTTGGTAACCGCTGTATTATCCTATAATCTATTTAAACCCATAATAGCTGATTAACATAGTATCTACTGTTTGTAAGTATTGTTCTCCTATGCACCGATCCCTATCCCTCGGATTTGTAAAACGAATAATTCGATTCGGGTCGTTCGTTAAGAGCCATCTTACACAGGGCCGACTTGTCGCGTATGAATCACACGATATGCGCAAAAACGAGCGAACGACCTACATTGTGCATGCATATATTGTCCCGCAAGAAATGTGTCAGATGGACGGCTGTAGTGATACGCGTACACCGCGTTCGCCGAGACGTTGAGAACGTTTGATTCGCACATGACACACCGTATACTATAAACACGTATTATTACGCCTACACCGATAAGATAAGTAAATAATAGTACCCACAGTGATTTACATCGACGTGCACGCTGGCGTATGTGTGCGTGCGCGCATCCAACGGATTTACCGGAACGAATTTTGAGGTCGATCTCTCGGACGAGGCCTTGTCGCCAGTACGGACGTACGAGGACCTACGACGAGCACGGAGACAATAACAAAAACCGTATTCACACATAATATTATTACGATAGCTACAATATATATAGGTACAATGGTACAATCAGGTATACGGTGTGCAGCTGGGCTGACCAGAACACTGCACCAACTTGTTCTATAATTAATTATAATAATAATACAATGAAAAGTACCTATGTAATATATGTATTTAACAGCGAACCACTGAGTTCCAGGATCAAACACAATGTAAGCTTTTGTACATCGCGCGCATGTTGTGTATACGTTGGCCGTGAGTGTGGCGACAATGAAACAGTTTTCCGCTGACGTTTTCCCTTTCGGAAAAACACAACGGTTAGAGCCGCGAACAAACTATAGGTACCGAGAACTTACTTGTTGAATGATAATAATACGAACAACGCACGCAGATCCACCGCAAGGCTGTATAATAGTATAATGTGCACTAAGACATCGGCCGGCTGTTGTTAACTGGCTTTCTGCTGTAACTTACTACTATCTCGAAAATAATACTCATTAACACAACGGTAACGGTTTGAACAACGCACAAATAACCTGCGGCACAGTACTGTTACCACTTCCGGGCTGCAGTGGTCGTGGGCGAGTGCCTGCTGTACCGCGGTTAGGTTAATACCAATACTTGGAAAAGTCTTAACAACGATTACTAAAATGCTTTCACCATCGATTTTTAAATATTAATCTTTACGAAGAAAAACAATCGCGGTCTTTGACGAGAAATCAAGATAAAGGGATGAATAGGTCGAGCAAAAATCGGCAATCAAAATTTTGCGTCCGGCGACTCAACCAATAAACATTTAGCACCCCCGTGATATATGTCTATGCGATTCATGTATGCTTATTGTTATCAACGGTTACTTACTTGATTAGTTCTACCGGCTTGCGTAACACGATATTTACCTATTTAAGATAGAAAATAGTTTGCTAAATATCTATACTGATCGTATAAGTTGGATGAAACGATGTTAATTCATCGCTTACATTTGAATGTATTAACATGGAGAACTTAAAACACAAACCGTTACCGCGATAGTCGTTAGCGATTTTGTTCACACGTTCTCGGATAGAAAAATGTTATCAAACACCATCACGTTCACTCGGTTATTCTAATAGAGTACTACGATGTTAGGTTGCTGATAACGAGCTGCAGAAAATGTCGAAGAACGCCTCCTACAGCGACGTGTTGTTATCAACGTCCGCCATTTTAAACTTATCTTTTCCAGATGCGAAACACCAAACAGATATGTATTGTGGAGTACATAAACAAAAACGGCTTTTTTTCATATACATTGGAAACTACCCCTGTAATACGCATCACAAGTTCATTTAAACGGACATGTGCAACGTGACAACCAATTTTTTTCCGATCACGAATAGTTACTCAACGAGAATAATTTTTTTTCCACGCGTTCAATACGTTTCGATTACCTTAGTGGCGCCGATCTAATGACTTAATGTTTATTGGGAGTGTGTTGAAAAACAAAAAAATTAGTTTAAATTATTATTAAGTCTATAGGCTAGATATTAGTAAAGAGTGAGTTTTAAATTGTCGATTGAGCTTCACCAAAATATTTAGTTTGATTCTGTATAAATTATACATGCCAATCGACTTGAACGCATTTACAAGTCGTGGATAAATGTGATATATTAAACTGAAATAAACTATAATAGATAGTAAACTGGACTACTTAAGGTTAAAACGTTGAAAACAAATCGATTCATTTCCAAAATGTTTCTATAAAACGGTTGCGGTCTCCTTGGAAAAATGTAGAGAATCATCAGTTTTCTAAAACAAGGAGAAAAATAGATTGAAATTATTAGGTTCTATTATTTTAGTAAATACAACTCCACCTAGCAGTAATAGGCAATAAGTACGTAGGTTTTATTTTGCTAACAATAATTTATCCAGTGTATAATAATAATTAACAGTTTAATAAACATCACGTAATCAAATATACAATTATTATTTGAATATATTCTTAAACAGACTGTTCGTCGTCGTGTGTAGTACCTCCTCCTCTTGATCCGTCCTAAATGTGATAAATCATAATTTTTTTTTTTGCTTCTCACAACCGATGAATGAAACTGTACACATTATTGAAAATGCCTAGCTTATCAATAATTTTAATATCCGAGTTCACCAGCATTATTGTTTTTAACATAAGCGGAGACGTTAGAGAATACTATTTGATTATGCTATATTATCATTTCCGTTGGCAATAAAAACCACATGATTTTGGGAATAAATTGCAACATAATTTCTAATAATGCGGATCACCGAAAAGAATACTTACATTTGGAATCCGCGCTTTCCATTTCCTTCCGACGAGTGGTTTTGAACTCTCTATTTGGAAAGAAAAATTATATCTGCGTCGAACGAAACGTAAAAATGCGTTTGGACGGTCGCTGATGTCCACTTTAATCACACAATTTACCGTATCCTTGCGTTGAAAGCTATGACGCAATAAATATGCATTTTTCGAGGTCATAAAAATAATTCATAACGCGTCCCTTTATCTACATTTAACAATATATTTTCATTTGAACGATCAACTTAAACATTATTATTCTTCCGGGTATTCCACATCTAAAATCTTTATTTCAATAATACTCTAATGGAAATCGCACATTTATAGACTGTTCATAAAGTTGCATATTATTATAACTATTTACTGGGGAATATCATCTATATAAGATGGTAGCAATTAGATTTCGTTATTAAACACTTGTCTGTGACTAAACAACATCGTAGATTACAGAATAACTAATAAATAACATTGAGAAATAGAAATAGGTTAAAGTCAGATTATTATAATTATTAATTCATATGGTCAATATGGTAATTGGAAAATAAAATTATTATACTATATTCTTTACATAACAATGTATAATAATGAAACAGGAGCTTTTTAGATTAAATTTATAATATTTTTAATCGATAAATAAGTATTGAAATATATAGACTTTAATATAATATAATATTATATTAACTTTTATAATACACAAGTTTTATTATTTTCCTTACAATGAACAAATTATTTTCAACAATGTTGGCATATTTATTGAATGTTAATGATTTCACAAAGAAAAAAAACTATTCTGTTGAAATAGAAATGTGTGGTTTCTTCTCATCTTCACTGATAACAATAGTCATGTCTACAGATCAAAAACTGTTCTATTTACTGAATGGTCTGATAAACCGCATTATTCACCTATAGTGCACAACATAAAAATCTCACAATAAAGTTAGTTATTGATTTAGATTTTTAAATAACTCTCTTCGCACAGAGTAGTCGATTATAACTACGAAATTAAAACCATAAACCAATAACACCAAAGGAATAAATACTCAGTCGTAACATAAAGTTTAAGTTTTAAGTATACCAGCCATGCAGGTGCACAAATAATTTATAAAGCATTTTCAATAATTATTTATGGACCCACAATTTCGTTTGAAGGTTAGAAAAATGCAAATATGTATATTTTCTGATGTTAAGTATCCATACATGATATGTTTAAGTTATTCACACCTTTAGAAAAATAAATACCTTTAATAGTAATTTGTAGTTTTTTTGGTAGCAGGTTGAATGATTAGTGAACTGAATTGCGGTACGAATAAAAGAAATAAACAACACTTATATTATTTATAAAATGTCTTTTTTTTATTGTCTTGAATAAAACAGTATCTAATAGTCTTATATTGGCAGTCAATTTGGACTTGATTGACATCAGATGTGTGCGCATTTATAACACACTTGGAGTATTATAAACACCAAGTGGCCATTATACAGTTAAAAATCAATATGGAATGTTGAATAATTAATTTTGGCATACAAGATAATTCGTCAAGATATGCACATCATTAAAATTACTATATATTATGTAGTACAAAAAAGGCACTTATGGAATTTCATTGTTCACATACATATTTAAATAATATAGATAATAATATAAATGTATAAGAACTTAATAACTAAAAAAAAAAAAAAATCAGTATTAAAACTAAATCTAAAATAATTATTACAGCTAATTAGCATCACATATATGTTTCATGATTATCTTTATAGAAGTGAATTATAAATGACATTCATGAGGCCCAACATTTTACTTATATTTACACATTTTATACGAAAGAATAAGACAATTTTGTACAATGTTTGTGCGAAATTCGGTTGATTGTATAAATTATAAAAATATATTTAATTTCCTGGTGAACAAATGAATGTTAATATAATGTGGAATGTTAATGGAAAAAAAATAAATAAAAAAATTAAAGTTATAGTATATTATTAATAATAAATAAATAAAAACTTGTGAACACATAGATTGCTCAAAATGGAAGACTCAGAAAACACTTTAATGTATAGATAATTAAAAATACCAGAACAGTATTAACTGCTATGAAACTTTATACAGTGACACTAGTACTGTATCTGTAGACAATTTGACAATGATAATCTTAAAATAATATAGAGCATTTCAATAAATACATGCAATAATGAGTAAACCATTAAGATAATTAACATACCTACTTACAATTTAAGTAATTAGAGATAAATAATTAACATAAAGTTTATATTGTTTATATTTTAATTTAGATCAGCTATTAATGTTTAGAATGATTGGAATATGAAAATAAAGGTATTATTTTTTGATTAACATAATAAATGTTCAATTATAAACATGTTAAAATAATCTTAAAATATGTATAAAGGTAAATTATCAAAAGTTTCATTACCTAATTCAGAGTTGAAACACAGCAGCAATATTGATTACACTTTACATATAATGAAATGAGACCAACAATTTTTATTTTCAGTTGGGCAAACAGTACAATTTATAAACATATATTTAAAGATAACTGTTTCAAAAAATTGTCGATAATATAATAAAAACCTAGAAGGTTAATCATGAATACAATACCCTTAACTGCACAACCCCTGTGTTCTCCGATAAAAGCAATCAGAAACTAATTTTAAAAAATATAGTATTTAATTTACGCCATGCGGAAACATGGGATAGTATAAAATGTTATTGAAAAAAAAACAAATTGTCTAAATTATTGCTTATCCGTTCTCTGAACCGTGTTTCCCTAAGCTAACAATTTTTTTGTTTAATTTAGTAATTAAATACACGATTGTAATTTATCAAGTCACATTTATACACTCTCCTTACCGTCCAATTTCTTGGCCAAGTCTGATACAAGCTCCTTGAAAATCAAGGGGTCAATGTTCTTACCCAATTGGTACAAAACAAACCAATCACCGATCTGGCACTTCTTAGTAATAGTTTCTACTTCGTCTTGTGGAGCTAAACGAGATCTTGCTCTCAACAACAGCAAACGAAATTTAGGCATGACCACAACAGCAGTACGGTACACCAGATTAAGACCACTGAGCACGGCAACAAACAAGAACCAGAACCACAAGAAAACGTAGATTTTTTCATTGACAATATTGAGCGGCAACACACATAGACCATCTAATTTCTGGATCGAACCGGATGGACCATATTTATGGAATGTACACTTGGTGACTTTGGGGAACACCCGAGCCATAGGGTCGTCTCTGTCTTCGGGTTCCATTTCAGTGAACTTGAGAACGTCTGAGCCGTAAGTACTAAACTCACCGTCGAGGAAGTAGTCCATGAAAAATATTTGAGCTATGACGTTAACAAAGTTGAGGAACTCACACAGGAAGAACCTAATAGCGTAGAAGTTTTGCGTGTGCAGGTTGGTGGCAAAGTAGTCGATGAGCAGCTTCTTACGGTCAGTCTTGCACTCCTCGCTGATGATCGGGCAGTTCAGATCGAGCACGAGCATTTTGATGCGGCCGCCCTCCCACGTCTTCCACATGTACCTGGGCAGGTAGAAGAACATGGCTTGGAAGAAGAGCACGAAGCACACCCATTGGTAGTACTTGTGGTACTTGACTTCGTCCTCACCGTCCACGTGGGACCGGACGCCGGGCTGGACCACGTCCTTGCCGACGCGGCCGTTGACGTGGTTGGGCAGCGTAAACGTCGAGTAGATCCAACAGTACGTGTCCATGATGTTGAGCGGCACATCGTCGACGATGCAATCGATCGGGTCGCCGATGTACTGACGGGACGTGACCAACAGCGAGAAGGCGACCAAGATGATGACGGTAGCCTTGTAGTGCAGCCGGAAGATATTGTTGTCGATGCATACGCTGTCGATCTTCAGCAGTCCCTTGACGGAACCGAAAACGTCGAACATGGCGGCGGCCGGAGTAGAGACGGGTTACGCGTGCGCACACACGCGTCACCACGCACGAACGGACACGGATCAGTTATGTAGCGGACGACCGGACCGGCGAACACAAAACCACGGGGGTTTTATCGATTGTAATACAATGTGTATTTTCGTTATCCGTTTTTCGGAAACACTGTTTGCGTATTGTCACGTACACACGGCAACGGCAGCACGCGTCATCTGGAGCGGACGGGTACGCACGCACGACGGTACCGGTGGTGTGGCCCGTGGATTTTTGAAAAGCGAGAAGAGTACGAACGACGTTGACTGACGCGCCGTGTCGTTAAACTCGAACACGCGCACGGCGGAGAAGGCCGGGAGGTGAGAATGGAAACACAAATCGCGACGGAAGACGCGCGCACGTCGACGGTGATCGGTCGTTTCTCGTGGAATGATCGCCGCGTCGGCCGCGCTCGGGCGGTGGGGCGTCCGCACCTTGTGCGTGCGGGTGCGAGCGACGGTCCGACCGCGGTGGGGGCGAGGGGCCGCGCGCGCCGGGTCAATGGTGTCGAGCGGCGCATGCGCAAAACGCCGTGTCACTGCTGTTGCCCGTTGCCGCTGCTGGTTGCTACCCGTACGCGTTACACACGCCACTCCTCGCCACTACTCGCCGCAAAACTCTTTTGTTAACGACTCCCGGCGGCGGCGACATTGCCCACCGAAGGGAAAAAAACCGGTTGTGGTGCTGCACGTCTCTTTTTCTCCATAATTTTATTTTTACTTTTTTTTTTTCCTCTCTCCCGTTCCCACTCGTACGTTCTTTCTCTCCGACCCGACATTCCACGCTCGGCGTGTTGTCTCCGTGCCACCAAGAGACCGACGGTCGGCCACGGCCACCGGCCCGTCAGCGCTAGCAGTCGCCCGACGAAGTATTACTTATTACTTATTATTATTATTACCTGTCGCCGGGCGGTCACGGGTTCTCAATCTACCGCGTCGTCGTCTTTCGAATGTCCGGTCACCGATTTCCCGTCAAAAATCGCTGCTTCCCGAGTTGCTACTAACGCATAAGGTGCGGGAGACTCGTTGAGGTTTTTCGGTCGGTTTATCAATAATTATCATGTGCTCTGCGAACGACGACTAACAAGTTATAAACCTGCACCCGGGTAAACTCGGGTAAACAAACGACAGCAGGATCCGCAAAACCGCAGAGATCAGCTTCCTGCGTTTTAAAGCGAATCCCGTGATATACGAGTGCACATCGTTACGTTCCCGAAAAATTCTTTTGATTCTCGATCAACCGAAAAAAATATGGGCGATTTTCTTACGAACGGGCCAACTTAAGTCAGATTTTGGAACAATACTACGTCGTATTCGACGAAATGTATTCATACGAACCATTATTATGCGATGTGTACAGCACGCGCCGAGACCAAATGACCGTTATTAGTTGTTCGGATGATGTGAAATATGACTTGTTCATAATATTGGAGAGCGGCGGTGAGGTTTATTGATACGATATTATTAAATTGTATACGCACGATGCAAATACGTTTTTTTCGATCGTGACAATATTATTCGAGAGCTGCTTCATGTATATATTATATTAAAACCGTGACGGGTCAAATAGGTAAACGACCTATAAATGTCTGTCGAAACGGTTTACGCCGAAATCTTCAGTGTCTCCGGTGAACAAAACACGTATAAATTGAACCTAATGAAGTGGATCACTTGCGGGGGATCGATTCGAGGATGATAATTATTTTAAAAATCATGGGTGTCGTACGTATCGCAGGAATGTATGTTGTGTGGTATCAATGACTGATAAAAGGAATAAGACGTGGTTACGCAATAATACGACGATTACCCATGTACAAATGTATAAATAAATAAATAGCAGATAGAGTACCTAGAGAATTTGATTTAAATTATTGAATTCAGAGTAGAATATTCGCACACGGATTGACTCGCGCTGCAGCTTCTACGCGAATCCAGTGTGCGAGTCACGGTACTATACGGATGAAGCAAGATTACCGGTTTTATAAATCAATAAATTAATTAAATTTTAATATTTTCAATTAGGGGGCAGAAAGCGTATACACTATGAGAATCATACATACATTTGATAATAAAAAAAAATAAAAAATACGTACCGTAGTCCAATTTATCAAAACTTCGAGTATGAATTGTTCACCGTAATATAACGTCTAATAAAGTAGATGTTTACTTAACGTCAGTAGGTGCTTAGTTATGCATATTATTTATGTACAGCCTGCAGTATGTAATATATAACTTATAGGTACGGTGAAGCGTTTTTTCGAATATTTTAAATTGTAAATATACAACATTAGGAAGGCGAATTTAAACACGTTTTAATGCATAAAACATAATATTACAAAAAACATAATTTTCTTTATTCATTTTTTATTTGGACGCGGAAAACGTGTAGTTAATGGATGAAATTTGTTTTTTTTTTGTTTTCGGTATCGAATTTCGAAAACCTTGTCACAACGAGGAATGGTAATATATATATACACACACACACACATACGTAATAATATAATACGTTTTAATATATAGTATATTTTAAATATTATAATATGTCGTCGGTAGTATACGGACGTAAACGCCTGTTTTTACTTATAAACTCATGTGCATTGTGCTCTCGATATAATAGTGCGTATATATAGCCATAATATTATGTCGTATATTAATAAACAATAGCCAATCCTTGATCTCGTTCATATCTCGGCAGCGCACGTGTCTGCTAAAAAAATTATGTATACATCGACAGTAATCTAAATGTATAATAAACGAAATAAGGCAATTCGTTTTATTACACAAATGATAACCTTGTTCAGCGTTGGCTGTCGACGAGAGTGAGGGTTTTGTCGTCGCCAATATCCTCTGGACAGATGTGACGTTGCAGCCTGCTGCAACAGGTGCAGTTAGGTGCAGTACTGAAATTCGTGCGTCCGTGTGGGAGACCTACCTACCGTTTTCCAAACAAAACTTGTGTGTCTATTATATTTTGGTTGGCAAAATGATATTTCCTGTCTCGAGCCAGCCGCTTTTTAAAAATATTTATGGTTTATTATCATATTCATCTTGATTCTGATCACTATCATGTGCGCGCATTAGAACAACCGATACAGCAACAAGTGATTATTTGAATAAGCCTGTATACGTACACGGAATAAAAACCCTCTCGTGTAGCTAGACATGCTGCGTTTCGTTGTTAATAAGGTGTTTTATACACCGTGTTATTATTTTGGAAAACAATTCGTTCGCGTTCCGATTATTTATATAATACGATCGGAACGCATACACGCAAATATATTAAACTTCACGTGCTGGCCCGCGGACGAAACGATTCCATTTTTAACACAATCTTTGGCAGTCAAGAGAGCCCCAAACTCAAGGTAACCGCGGCAAGGATTTAACGATCGATCTCGTTCGGATACAAAATTTTCCGTCGAATAAAATATAGACACATAAAATATATGAGGTCACCCGGCAAACGCTCTACACACGTATACCTCCTGAACAGTGGCGTAGGAAGACTCGCTAGCGTCCCTGGAAAATTTAGATAACGTTTCCTTTCTAACAAACTAAAATTCAATGTCATGATATTTTTTTTTACCTTTAATTTTACTAATATATTTAAGTATACATTTTATACTTATAAAAGTAAACTATAATAACTATTATAACTATTATAACTTATATAAGTTATTATTACACTGTTAATTTCAAACTTTGAAAATTTGCTTTTCTCGCTTTATGACTGGCAAATTCATCGACAATTTCTTCATATGAAATGTTTTATTTAAATGCCCTATTTTCATAATTTCATCATTAAATTCACACGCAGTGTGTACAAATAGATAAAATCTACGTATTTCAAAAAGTATAATGGAAAAATGTCGATTTAACTGTAGGATAGATATACGACTTTTGGACAGTTTTGCGCCCCTTTGCAATTCGTGCCCCTGGCGTAGGCATAGTTCGCCATGCAATTGCTCTTGAACATTGTTACGTCCAGTACCCGCAGTATTGTTCACGCTCAGAAATATTCGTATATAATATCGTATGTGTACTGAAATAAGAACTTTTACTGTACATAATATCGTCTACGACGGCGGAGACGATCGTCTGCAGGTTAAACGCAGTTATAATATGTACACAGAATAATAATATAATATCATGCCTCGTAAACGTCGTAAACGGTCATTAAATTCGTGCGTGGGAAATTTCACCGGGTCGTGATTGTTATATTGTTCTCTCGCGCAGGTTTCTCACAAGTCGAACGATGGAGGGGGTGTTGTGTTGAGGGGCGGTTCGAGTGCGATTGTTTCGTGTATGTGAGTGCTGTACGGTGTTTTTTTTTTAAATATTTTTACTTTTCAAGACGTACGCTCAGGACAATTACACCAAGAAAATTACGGATAGTTATAGTACATATATATATACGAGTATGTGTGTGTGTGTGTGTGTGTGTGTGCAATAAATTATTTCATGTGCATCGTCTTCGAGCGCACACAATTATTCACGCGAATGACAATATAATAATTCACCCAATCCGGTCTGCTATCTGCAGTCTTCGTCGTCGTGTTTTTCTTTATGTTGATCTTCGTTATCGGCGTTGTTGTTTTTTTCGTCCACGTGTTTTCATGCATTGGCGTTATAGGTTATTTGTATGCATTACATACCACCGGTTTTCTATTTAAAATGTTTGCAACCGCATTATATTTCAACAATTGCAAATATTATTGAATTTCCGAAAAATCAATGTTGGATGTTTCCACTAATTAGATTATATTTTGACTACTTAGCAATTGTTCCAGGCGCAGTTCAATCTTTTGCGCCTAATAACTGTTACTAGATAAACACAAATCTAAAGCTTTTTCTGGAAATGTTCTGGATCCAAGGAGGTTCACATAAGTAATGAATAGTATTCCAGGTATATTTTCTTGTCTTTCACATTCAAATTCATCAAGTAACATATCAATGTACATCGTTACCAATCCATTCTGAATCGTCACAAATTCAAGTCTTCAAACTCCCACAACAATACTTCTTACTCTAAAAATGTTATCTTCGAGTTCCTACCCAACGACTCTTCTCAAACAAACCCGTCATATATATCTGTTACTCCACAGAACCGAACAGTAATCCACGAAATTCAGATTTAAATTTAGCTCTTTCAAAATTTCTATCTGATTTAACTTCTATTATAAACTCATTTCTTTCTGCCATTACAATAAACAAATAATTATGATATTAACTTTCCCCAATTATTTTTGTTATCAACAATAATGACATTTGATATTTATATCTGATATTAACTGTCGTTTTTATCATCATACCATTATGGTAATTTAGTTTACCTTTAACTTATTGTATTTATTTATTAGCTGTATTAACAAATTTAATATTTTAATTGTTGAACTATCAGAGTTAT